CTACATAGAATGAAAAAAGGAAGCACCCCCCACCCTTCCCAGGAGCTTTGGTTTTTGCCATGGCTTTTGTCACTGATCTCCAGTGGAGGCTCCAGCCTTTCCACACAACTCACATTGGTGACTGCAGATACATTTTTTTTTCAGTACTGGGGATCAAACTCAGGATGTTGTACTTTCTAGGAAGGTGCCTATGCCACTGAGTCATATCCCTGGCTCACAATGGCCACTACAGAGAGGGTCCAAGTCTTCCACCCTTGACTACTGCTGGATCCTTCAGCCCTCCAGCATGCAGACAAACTTTCTGGATTCTTCCACTTACCATTCTACAGATGGGCCCCTAGGACTCTTCTACTTTTTATACTGTAAGCCCACCTAATAAATCACTTATGTGATTATATGTAGATTTTAAATGGATTCTGTTCCTCCAGAGAACCCAAATGTATACAGGTTTTGTGATTGTCTGACCCAATGTAAATCACCACAAGTCTTTGGATGCTGTTTGTGGCAGGAGTTTAGAAATAGAGGAATTTGGGGATGTTTGAAAATGCTGGCTAGAGGAGCTATAGAATTCTGTGAGCTGAGCTTAATGAGTGCTTCTGGCCAGAGCATGGAAAACCAGAATGCTGATGAAAACAAAAGACCAGGCTCAGGAGGTTTCATTTGGGAGCAAGGACTCCACTGGCACTCGGACCCAAGGTAATGTGTGCTCTGCTCTGGCAGAAAATTCATCTGCACCTTGCTCATGTCCTGGGCTTTATGGGAGACTGACACTAGCAGGCAAGTTAATTTAAGGGACTAGGCAGGCAGCTCAACATGGATGCTCTCCATTGAGAATCAAGCGCAAATGGCACACCTGAGTGATGTAAAAAGTTTGAGTGTCACCAGAAAGGAAGCAAGGTAAAACTGGGGACCTGTAAAATTTTGGCCCATGTACAACATGATTGCTGAAAAGATTTGAGTTAAAAAGAAGCCAAGTATTTGGCATTGGGACAATAGGAAAGATGCCACAAGGACATCGCAAGACTATCTTTCACAGGTTCATGATCCAAAGGTGAGTGATTTGCCATGAAAAGAGAGCCCAGGGGTGACGTGCTCATGGATTGTTTCGCCAGGTTGTCTTTCACAGAGCTCAGCCACGCATGTACTTGTCATGATGCAATGTGGCTCAGTGACTGCTCAGGCTGGCTACATGCCTTGGCATCATTCATGTCTTGCTGTTTCGCAGGTGTGCAGAATACAAGAGTTGATGGGTTAGAAGGCTTGCACCCAGATTTCAGCAGTGGCCTGCCAGGGGGTCATTTTTACTTGAAAGAAGTAGGTCACTGAAGGTGTGATTAAGAAATTCACATCTCCCTTCCAGGCTCCCTGCTTCTCTCTGCTTCCGCCTCCATGATGGGAGCAGTCTCCTCTATGCAAGGCTCTTCCCCCTGCCCACTCCTGCCATGGAGCCTGTCGGGCAGGGACTGAAACTTCTGGACTGTGAGCCAAACTCAGTGTCTCCTTTATGTGAAGGTATTGTATCCTCGCCATGAGGAAGGTGACTAAGACAGAAGGATCTGCACCGATGCTTATTTGTGTGTTTGTTTCTAGTTATACTACCCAGATCTATTACTCTGTGCACCTCATTGGAGGCTTGTTAAAACATCAAGGTGCCCATCAGGTGCTGTGGTTCTAGGGGCCTGTGGCAGGAGAGTGGTACGTAAGTTCTGCCCCATCCCAGACCTTATCTAGGAAAACACCATCAAAATGGAAATGGTCCTAATATCATCAGGGCTCTGGGAAAAACTGGGGCAGGGCTCTGGCAGAAGCTTCCATAATGTCCTTCTTAGGAACAGCATCTGGACAGCCTCTAAGGCCAGATCCAGCTTGCACTGCCCCTCGTCTACCCAGCCCTCCTGGTGCTCTTCTTCTCAAGTACTGGAAGCTACATGACCGCATCGCTTAGACCTAAGCATCACTTTCTCCTTGTGGCTCCCTCCACGCTTTCAAAGCTGAGCTTGTAAATTTCCTTTTAATGCCAGTTAGGTGATATGGCCCATCCTTATATATTTACTCTTTTAGAATGACTTCAGCGATTGCATCCCGTGTCTTTCTTTGGCATTATGTTGAGCTCCAGTAGCCTCTGTTATAATGTCTGACCCCTCTTAGCCAAAAGCTGCTTCAGAAAATATTTGTATTCTATAGTACACAAATAATATACTTAAATAGATACACTACCATGCCCCAAAGCCTACCAAGTTGTCTTTAACACAAATGACTGTTGAGCCCAAAATTTTACCATGCTGTATCATTTTTTGGTTAATATGGAATGTTTCACAAATTTGCTTGTCATCCTTGTGCAGGGGCCATGCTAATCTTCTCTGTATTGTTCTAATTTTAGTATATGTGCTATCAAAGCGAGCACTATATCATTTTTTATGTCGAGAAATTTTCAGAAATTTTGCTCTTCATTAATTCATTTATAGACATGCTATTTCTATTAACCACTGATTCTAATGTTATTATTTCCATTGGGTTTCTTGTGTCCTTTTGCTCAATATATCTTTTATTTTGCATTTTCTTTCCTCCTTTTTAAAAAATGTATTTGTTTGGTACAGGGTCTCACTATACAGCTCAGACTTATAGTGGTCCTCCTCTTTTGAGCCTCTCCAGTGTTGGGATTATAGGCACGTGCCTCTATGCGCAGACTTTGTGGCCAGCTCAACCCATCTTGGGGGTGGGGCTGGCATGGCATGTAGTGTCAGGGATCCAACCTGTGCTTGCCTAAGCTTGTTTAAGAAGTTAAGCTACCTTGCCAGCCCCTTATATTACATTTTCTTGAACTATAAAAGAGTTGTTATCTGAAATGTTCTTTCGTTTATACAGAGAAATCTTGTAAAGTGTTCTTTCATTTATAGAGAGAGATTTTCATTTATTAATATTATTATGATGTTCTTCTGTATTTTAGGGAGGGTCTACAGCATGTTCAGGGTGCACTACTAGATCAGACTCATAGTGATTCTCCTGTTTACAGCCACCCAAGAGCTGCGATTACAGGTGCGTGCCATCACATCCAGTCTCAAATGCCATCTCAGTGAACCCTAGGGGTGGGGCCAGCATGGCAGGCCTGGTATTGAACCCCCAGCCTTTAATCCAGACAGAAATATTCAGATACATAGATTTCACTTTTATTTTGCGTGCTTTGTTTTTGTTTAATTATTATTTATTTTCTTTAATATTTTCAAAATTTAAATATCAG